TCAGATGAGGTGGCATTTCTTATAAGAAGGCTTCCTGGCTCATTTTTCTGCTTCTATAACCCTCACACTTCTGGCATAGACTGTATCACAGTGTACAGCATACACATTGTACTGAATGCTTATTTATCACTGTCCCTCTGTCAGTTGCTCACTAGGATGCAAATTCACAGAAGGCAGAGACTAGGCTTTATTTACCTTTGATTACTAGTTCTTTGCTTGGTAGGTACTTAGTAAGTAAGTGTTAGTTCAAAGAAGTATAAGAAATATATGTAGGAAAATATATAAGATATAAAAAATATATGTAGGAAAAAATCATAATATAGGTTGCTGAAAGAAATGTATATCTATTTTCTCCCAATATCAATATTTATTTAACTGGGTCAACTGTATGCTGTTATTGGAGATTCCCTCCTCCTCCAATTCAGAATGGGATCTTTTTTCTCCCACAAAAATCTGAATTTGTGAGGTCTTATTATTTTTCTAAACAAAAATATCTCACCATTCCAAACATAATGGAACTCTGTATAGTTTTTCACCTGGTGAAATTTGGGCTCAGCACTATGGCAAGGAGTATGTTGATGACTGAGTAAATTTAGTCATTTTTGTCATTAATTTCTTTTTATGTACCACTTTACCACTTTACACTTGAAAAGCTTTTGACTGCTTGCAGAAATGCCAAAGAACTTTTTAGATTCAGACAAATATAGAAAATTAGATGGAACCATGCTTTCTCCCTCCCTCCTTCCCTTCCTTCCCTCATTTCTTATATTCATCCTTTGTTGGTTTTTTAGTGCAGTCTCTTCAGTGCTACATTTTTGTTTTTCTTGAAAGTTCTCTTGTAAAATTATGATGACTTCTCGCTTTTTGAAACCCTCCCTTCCCTTGTGTTCTCTGGTGCTGTATCGCCCTATTGTCTTCGTTCTGTCATTTTTGTTGAGTTGTCCTCAATATGCCCAAATATGTCTGACAACTTAGTCCAAGACATGTATGCTCTGTCCATATTTTTTCTTAAAGACTTCATCTATTTCGATTCCTCCGGGAATCATCACCTCCAGCCTTGCATCCATAGCTGTCTCTGCTAGGATGTTCCACTGCCATCTCAAAGGCAAAATGCCTATGATGGAATTTGTCTTTTACTGCACACTGACTCCCTTAGGGACACCCCTCCTACTGTAAAAGGCATCATTATTTCCACATTTATTAAGGCCCAGAATCAGCAGGGCATCCTGGATTCCTCATTCTTCCTGTCCCTTCCTATCTAGCCAGCCACAGGCTGAGTAAGTTCCTCCTTCATGATGTCTGTTAAACTTAGCCCTTGCACTCCGTCCTGGTTGCTGCCCCTCACATGCAGGCCCTCATCATCATAAGCCCTGGCCACTACAAGCAGTAGTCTAACTTTTTTCCTCACTTCCATCTCTCCTCACTGCAATCTCACATTAATCTTCTAAAGACACTTCTCTGTACCATTCACTTCTTGTTTAAGAGGCTGTATAGCTATTTATTCCCCACAGAACCAAGAAATTGCTCCTTAGCCAAGTCAGAACATTCCATACTCCATTTATTTCCAACCTTATTTTCTGCATCTCTCCTACAAAGCCTCCACAGCTCACCACTCTGTTAAATAGCCCTCTGGTGTGCCTCAACCTCTTCGTCTTTTTCTCATTACCTAAGCCCTACTTTTTCTTTAGGTTCAGTTAAAGTACTAATTTGAATTCCAAATGATCCTGTTTGAAATGGATTTTTCCTTTTTCTGACACCTCATGTATCTAGTATTGTAATTTTTTACTCATTAACTCAACTCAACTTACTGGCCGTTGGTCATGTGCCAAACATTGTGCCAAATACAGGGGATACAAAGGTGGATAAGACATAGTTCATGATTTTGTCCAGGTTGGCCAATTAGAATAAAATACTTGAGGGTGGAAATTATGTTTTATTCTTCTTTGTATTTCCAGTACTTAGCATCTTCTGCAGAATATATATATATATGTCTTCATTGCTGTTACCAGTGACAGTAAAAGACAATGAGCATTTATCATTGGTCAGCAAAATTTTACTCAATATATTTTACTTAATTCTACTAGATATTCAAATAAGAAAGCTATCATCCAACCTTCTGTTGGACTTTTTGTATTGTAGAAACTCTTTTTAATCATAAAGATTAAATGCTCTAAATATCCTCAAAGCTATCATTATGCAGATTGTTTTCTGGGATTGTATAAGGAGGTTAATTAACCCTTTTAGATCATTTGCAGAGTGACTTTATTCACTAAGACATTCTGTAACACTCATATATACACTCACACATGCTCTCATAAACATGCTTACATAGAATACTATACAGTAATCCAGAAAACTTATCACAAAAATTGTACTGAAATCTCACTAGTGCAGTGGGTAGACCTGGTATAAAAAAAGGAGGGATAATAATAATTAACTTTTATTAAGTGCTTACTAAGTGCCAGGTACCTTTTTAAGTAGACTATTTTATATTAGCTCTTTTAATCCTTAAAAACACCTCTGTTATGTAAGCACCATCAGAACCCCCATTTTACAGATGAGGAAACTGAGGTAAAGCAAGGTTTACAGACTTGCAACAGTTAGTGAGGGAAAGAGCCTAGTTTTGGAACCCAGCAACTTTGATTCCAGAGCCTTATGTCCTTAATGGCTATGCTATTATTCCTCCCATAGAGATGTAAGTAATGGCTCACGTTCCCCTATCCTCCAACAAAGAAAGGGTGGGGAGGCAGAGAGAAAGATGGGGAATGGAACTGAATGGAAAATAAGTAAGTCATTCAGGATAATTATAACCACCCTGACACAGGACACTGGAAATTTCAAAGGATCTCCTCCTCTTGCCCCACTGGCTCTTCATTCTCTGTCCCATGTCCTCTGGAGAAACAGAGGAAAAGAAGGTAGGAGACAGGTTCATCATGAGGACACACGGCTGTCACTAGACCATTTTATTCCTTGAATGGTTGTTTATGGAGGTATCTGAGAGGCAGGAGGTGCTACTATTCAGTACTCCGACAGCAGTGCTAAAAGGAAGGCTGTCATGTTTTGACAGCCCAACCCCCTCCCTTGACTCACTTCTCTAGAAACCGGGTGGCAGGTGGAGGTCAGAGACAATGTAAGGGAGGAAGGTGGTTGTAGAGTTGGAACTGGACTGATAGAGTCTTGGTTTCTGAGAGAAAGGCAAAAACAAAACACAACTAAAAACCATGTGGAAGAATTGGAGGGGCACCAGGAAACTAGGCGCCTGGACCAAATAGGAACCAGGTGCAACTATAAAACATGTGCCTGTGTTCTGTGTTCACATTTGCAGGCGATACCCATCTGCACTCTATTAGTTCTTCCTCACACCCACAGTGGAAGGTAGAAATTATACTCCTTTTGACACTAGCAAAACCAAAATGACTTCTGAAGAAAGCTATATACATCCTTCTGATTCCAGAATAACTGCATTTATACAGATTTGTTTCAGATTGTTAGCATTGTTGGAAGGAAATAAATCAGAAAACAATATCAAGTTATTTTAAGCCCTATGATCCTTTGGTGGATTGTGCAGCAAATCTTAAAGTGCAGATCAAAGTGGCTCTGGCCTAAAGTTTATGAATAGACAAGTTTTTAAGGTAAAGGAGAGGGTTTTTATGTCCTGTGGATTTACAGAGACTAGTCCTAGACTATAACTGGCATGGACAATCGCTGGAGAAAACAGCACCACAAATACCTTCTCAGATGACGGTTTTGAAGAAGTACAGAAAAAATTCACAGGACTGGTTACTTCTCTGATTATCACCATTATCTTTAGCCACTTTTAACTTTCATAATTAAAAAGAAAATTAGGAATATTAACATTTTTCCTTTGGTAGCCTTAGCCTTTGATAAATGGAAATGTGAACATGTTAAAAGTAGACGACAATTTTGTTTATGTCCCTGGGAGGGAGTTTGCTTGCTGGCAGCTCAATTTTTGACAAAGAAAAATGGGCTGCTCTTGCTTCTCACACAAAGATGCAGTGTTAACAGAGAAAGCCCCCAAACTGGAGATTTTCTGTGTAAGCTGAAAAGAAGTTAAGATAATATATAACATGATAATTTACTTATTATAAAGTTTCTATTAGCTGATAAAATGTGTGGCTTACTAGAAAATAAAATATTACAACTTTGTAATAAGAAAATACTGATATCTGGAAATTCTAACAGCAAGCAAGACACTGTAAATTTCATTTTTAGTACCCCATAGTTAAAGATATAGTTCTGTTTTTTAAAAACTCAGTTTTATCCATGCAATTGCACAGTACTTTAAATTTTATGAAAGAAGTGAGGCAAAGTGTTTGTGAAGTCGAACTGCCTCTGTTCCTTCTACAGGGCTGCCATCTGGGCTTGTTTATTTGTGTTTCCAACTTTCTGCAACAGGGAGTTTCTCTGTTAGGGACTGGGCACTGAGCAAAGGAAATGTCTTACAGAAGACTATCTTTTTTCTTCTTCCTGTTTTACTGTATTTTCTAACTTCAAGTTTAGTTTGGTCAAAAATGTCAAATGACTAGCATAGTCATAAAATTTATCATAGTTGGAAACATCAGAATTGTCTTAGCAAACACTCTTCCACATGATGCAAGTATTATTTCTACATGCTATCTTCTTGCGCCTTTCAGATCTTTTTCAAAACACAAACTGTCATCTGGCCACAGCTATTTGGCCTGGGAGTCAAACGTTTTTCATGTATCCTTCTGCGAATAAGCATTTGATTTAAAAATGAAGAATTTCAAAGCAGTTCTTCTAATTTTGCAAAGGACATATGAACCATGTTACCAAAACCGAAGGAAACAAAACAAAAATCTTTCATGGTATAATTAAGAAACAAAGCATCATTGTTAGACTGATTACACAATCTGATTGTGAAGAACAGTTTAAAAACTCACAGACTACCAGTTAAAAAAACTAGTAGTCCCTTATCTTTGAAACATTTCATTTAACAAATAAAAAGAAGCAAAAAGTACCTTGTAAAGTAAAATCCAGCAGTACATATTCGTAAGCAAATTCTGTCTTTGTTTCCACTTGCGGTCTCTTCAGGGTAGAAAATATTTTTCCAGGGCTGCTATCATCAGGGTCTTCTAGCTTTCTAAGTCCGCACCCCATGGCAAAGTCTGTAAGGAATTAAATTGCAGGATAGGGAAGGGAAAGCAGCAAATTCTGTTGTTTAAGCTGCAAAAGGAAAGTTACAGACTTAACTACTTTGATTTTTTCAGCTAAGCCATAGATACTCAAAAAGAAAACATTTGAGTCCAAAGAAAGGACCTGAAGACTTTTTCTATCCATTTTTCTGTAAAGTTGAGCCCATGGTGATTAAGCTCCAGCTCCAGGAGGCTGGGCTTGGTCTTACGGGAAACAGGCAAGCTGCTACAACTCAGTGGAAGATTTCCACGCCACGTCGATTTACAGCCAGCCCCCTACTAGAGTTCTGTCGCTCAGAGCACCAGCAGTGCTTTGTCTATCCCAGTTGGCTGGATGATAAAAGACGTGTCCAAAAACGGAAATAAAAGGCAAAGGGCAACTCGGATGGAATTATCTACCAGTATTCAGACATAGTGGCATGCGATTCCTTTTCTGTTTAGTCCTTTCCCTCTTCCCGTTGCTCACCGCCTCTTTTCTCCCTGCTACTACCAAGAAAGCAAAAGGAGAGGGGTGGGTGGGGAGGTAGGGGGGGGAAGGAATGAAAAAATGGATTCTCATGTCAACATGATTGGAAGCAAAAATCACTACCAGAGAGGAAGTCAGCTTCATGAAGAAACTATTTCTGGAGTCTTAAGGGAGAAAAGTGGAGTATTTTTAAAAAGTACATACTTTAGTCTGCAGGTAGACTTTTTGCGGATTTCTTTCCACATGAAGGTTCTTTTTACTGGAAGAATCATATACTAATTAAAACTGCCAAATATAGAAAATTTGCATGAAAATATTTTAATAAAGACTTTAATTGCAAAGGAGAGACAGTTATATGAATAATCAGTTTCCCCAAATATACTATAAAAAGGCTTATGCTAGCAACTGATAAAACTTCTACAGGTCCCAAAGTTTCCTTAATTAAAACAAGCAAACCCCACTACCACCTAAAACTGACAACTTGATTCATTCAGTCTTATAAATTGCCATTTACCTGAATCAAGAACAATTTGTAATGGACCAGTTGTAATGAATGTTTATTGCATTTTCCCATTTACAGATCAGGTAGTATGATGAACTCATCAAAACTGAGGACTGGAGTCTGACCTCCTGGCTTCAAATCTTGCTTCTAATGCCTACGAGAGACGTAATCTTGGGCAAGTTACTTGACCTCTTCAAGTTTCAATTTCCTCCCCTACAAAATGGAATTAATAATAGTACTTGTCTCATAGGTTTGTTATTGAATGAGATAATCTCGTTGTATATCTTAACACTATGCCTGGCTAAAAGCACAAAATAAATTTGTTATTGTGCTTAAATTATAAAACAAGGTTGACAGTAGTAATAGAAAGGAAGTGATTCTACCCCCACCATTATTTACAAAAGAAACTCTGATCACACTTCAGATTCTGAAGAACACAGACTTGTAAAGATTTTTTAGTCACAGGGGAGATGGACTATTTAGTTTGTAGATCATTATGACCTCTTGTCTCTTCCTTCTGCCTACTTATCTTTAAATGGTTTACTTCTCAGAAGTGTTTTTAACAGAGGAAAATTCCATAGTCCTTCATTCCTAAGGATGGACATGGTTGGTGGCAGGTAAGCAATTTCTGGGTCAGTCTGGCTATTAAGGCAGAAGACTGACCCAGTGTGACTCATTTGACTATTAACAGTGCTCCTGTGCCTGTCATTTTTCATGTCCTCTTCTGTATGATGGTCGTGAGCAGAAATGGAATACTTGAAGTTTACTAGTCCCTACTTCAGTATCTGGACTATTATTTATTAAGTACTTATTGTAGTCATTAAATGCCTGCTATATTTCAAGCACTGAACCTGACACTGGGTGGGTACACAAGATG